ATCTTTTTAATATCTCACTCACTTGGAGACAGCTGGATTCTCATATTTACTTCTATATTCAATATTTTGCACAGGCCCTGTAACCTCTGGACAGGTCTCCACTGGACACTTGTGAGATAATGACAGTAAAAAGGGCATAGGTCTTAGTATTAAAAAAATAGTTTTGGCCTCACAGGCCCACTGCTTTGGTCTTGGGAATTCCCTTTGCCCAAGGTCCCCAGACTGTTTGTGAGTAGCAAGAGCACAGACATTAGCACTATACTGCATGGGCTCAAATTCCAGCTCTGCCACTTCCTAGTTGGCACGGTACCTCACTTCTCGGTGCCTCAGTTTGCTCATCTATAAAATGGGCATATTATTAGTGTCTACCTCAGTGGGTTTTTATAAGGATTAAATAAATCTTTATAAAGTACTTAGAACAATGCTGAAACATAGTAAGTACTATATAAATGTTTGTTACATCAATAAAATAAAACCTAATTCCTGCACTGAAGGAATTTAAGAAAACATGAATAACCAAATTACTCCTGAGTTTTGTGTAAGTTCAATGATAGATGTATTTGCAGCAGAAACACAGATAGGGAAGGGTTCCCAAGCTTTAGGGTCAAGAAGCGTATACTCTTGTCTGAGAATGATCAAAGGAACAGATTTCCTGCAGTGTTAGAATGACAGAAATATTCTTCTTCAGATAAGGTCAGTCCAGTTAACGTTTGTTTTAATTTTACATTTTCATCTTTTTTGTTTGTAATGAAAAGAGTGTGACTAGGTTAGTTGGTTTATTTCTTTGATGCCTTGTCATGGTTGTTACGTATCTTCACTGCCTGAGACAGAGCAACAGGCAAATGAAAGTTTCTTGACTGGTTGGATTAATAACTCTGAAAATGTGGGGAAAACATTTCTGTGATCACTGGGATTTTGGGGCACATATTTGTAACCACTTCATGACTCTGGAGTATTATAAGGAAGAAGTGGTGAATTATATTTTTATAGCAATTAACTAAAATAAAGCTCTGGTGTCATAGTACCTAAGGCACTTGACTGCTAACCTGAAGGCTGGTGGTTCAAACCCACCAGCCATTCCTCGGAAGGAAGGTTGGGCAATCTACTTCCATTGTTATACCGCCTTGGAAATCCAAGGAGGGGTCGCTATGAGTTGGGTCCGACTCCACAGCATATGACAACAACAACTAAAAGAAAAAACACCTAATCCTGAGAGTGATGATAAAATTTGTCTTAGTGTAATTCTTTTTTCTTTCTCTTAGTGTTTTAGTCAGTTAACTTAGATACTTAAAATTTCACCTGTTTAAAATTACCAAGTTACACGTTACTGTTAGGTGTGTCCAGTTGGTTACAACTCATAGCAACTGTATGTCCAGCAGAATGAAACACATACCAGTTCTGCACCATCCTCATAATCTTTGTTATGTTTGAGCCCATTGTTGCAGCCACTGTGTTAGTCCATCTCACTGAGGGTCTTCTGCCTTTTTCACGGACCCTCTATTTTAGCAAGCATGATAACCAAGTTATATAGATTTAGTAAAATAAAAACAATTTTACCGTCTGTGGCAGTTAAGTTTGTGTGTCAATTTGGCTGGGCCTGTTTGAGTGGCTGGGCAGCTGGATGTAGTATTCCCCATGATGAGACTGGTAATCATCTCCATGGTGGAATCTACTGTGAGCAGCTGAATAGCTGCCTGTGGCTATGTGGTCTGCTTCCCATATATGAGAAACAGCCTTGGGAATGGTCTCTAGCTTATGGCCTGCTTGAACCCTGCATATAGCTGAGTCATTGTTCAGCAGCCTGCCATGCTCTGCTGATCCTGGGACTTTCAGTGGACTTGAATGAATGGCTTGCCCTGTGGTTTTATTTGTCGACTTTGGCCTGTCAGCCTCAGCAGCCAGTAGCTGCCTGAGTGAAGAGATGCCTCTAGCTTCAGTGGGCCAGGAGCAAGAGGCAGAGCTGAAGCCTAAGGTCGAGGGGCTTTCATACAGCCCCCAAAGCCTGGCACTTTGAATTCGGACTGTAATTTGAACTGTAAGAGAATAAACTACTATTTGTTAAGGCCATCCCATTTGTGGTATATTCTTTCAGAGCGGCACTAGGTAACCAGAACACTGTCTTTTAAAGTACAGAAGTCCAAAGGTGGCACAAATGGATAAGTGCTGGACTTGGACTACTAACTGAAAGGTTGGTGGTTCGGACCTACTCAGAAGCACCTTTTAAGTAAAGCCTGGCAATTTGCTTCTGAAAGATTATAGCCTTAAAAGCTCTATAAAGCAGTTCTACTCTGTACACATGGGGTCACCATGTGTTGGAATCATCTTTTTTTAATTTTTTTTTTTTTGTGATTTGGTTGAAAGTTTATAGAGCAAATTCATTTTCCATACAGCAGCTCACATACACTTTGTCTCATGACATTGACTGCAATTTCCCACAATGCAACACTCCCCTCCCACTTCCTCCTCATAGTTACCTCTTTCCTGTGTCCTTCCCTCCATGCGCTCCTGCCCCCTGAGCTGTCTCTCTGTGCGTACACAGCCCTTCTATTCTCCCATGATTGTTTTCTCCAAGGAGTGTATCTTTCTAATGTAATTGTTCAGCTCATATGCCTGCATTTTGTTTGACTGGAGGTCATAGGAGTGGGTTCAATTCCAGACTTGAGGGACAGCTAGTCTCAGGTTTCACCAGGCTCTATAAGACCAGCAAACCTGGTCCCTGCCCCCCCCCTTTGTTTTCTTATAAATAATTGTGAGTCTTTTTCCACATTGTTCTCCCTCTCTATTCAGGATCTCCTATGTAGATCTCCCTCCTAGTGGTTGACAGTGGTAGCCAGGCACCATCTAATTCTTCTGGTCTTATAGTCATGTAGGCTGAGGATAGCATAGTATACCAGTCCCTTGGACTAATGGTTTCCATGAGTCTTTGGTTTTCTTCATTCTTCTTTGCTATGGATGAGGAGAGACCCATCATTGCATCTAGGTGGCAGCTTGCAATCTTTTAAGATCCCAGTAGCTACTCGCCAAAGTAGGATATGGAACAATGTTTTTGTGTAGTATGTTATGTCAGTTGAGCTTGATGTCCCCTGTGACCATGGTCCTGAGCCCACAGGTCCAACTACTTGTTCCCTCTGGGTAGCTGGCTGTGGACAAAAAGTGACCACAACCTTGTCCCTTGTTAGCTTTACTATATACCTGGAAGTTTTTACAGAACATAAAAATACACTTGTAGAAACATTTTCTGCAAACCCTGTACATGGTCATGGGCACACTCCACCCTACATAGACATACCTAATTGTTCAGCCTGACCACCCATCTATCCACCTGTACGTACATCAATGTTTGCCATAACTCACAATGCAGTACTGTATATACAAAGGGTTCATCTTTGTTGTCTGTAGATCTTTCTGTCTTCCTCTTCCTGAGTTCCCCCATGTTGATAGTCACATTTGGTATGTTGCCCTTCCCTTTACTCAAATCAATACTTGTCTCTACCTATCTAGCTAGCACTTTTCTCCCCCCTCCCCTCCCACCCCTGGTAACCAACAAAGAAAATTTCCTTTCACATATAAACCTTTTCTTGACTTCTTACAATAACAGACTAATAGCAATCCTTCTGTGATTGACTTATTTCACTCGGCATAATGTCCTCCAAGTCCATCCACGTTATGCTGTGTTTCACAGAATCTACATTATTCTTTAGTGTTGCATAGTATTCCATTGTGTGTATGTACCATAGTTTAGTTAGTTTTGGAATCATCTTGATGTCAACTACCAAAATGCTTACAGTTACAATTAATTGTGAATTACAACTCACAATGTCAATTAAGGAGACTAGATAAGCAGAGGTGATAAAGGGATTAAGATACTGGTTTTTAAAAGTGAGGTGGACAATGGAATACTATGCAACGCTAAAGAATAATGTAGAATCTGCAAAACACCGCATAACGTGGATGAACTTGGAGGACATTATGCTGAGCGAAATAAGTCAGTCACAAAAGGACAAATATTGTATTAGTCCGTTATTGTGAAAGTTAAGGAAAGGTTTATATATTGGAGGACATTTTCTTTGTTGGTACCAGGGGTGGGAGGGAAGGGGAGGGAATGCTGTTAGATAGATAGAGATAAATATTGATTTGGGTGAAGAGAAGGGCAATGTACCAAATGTGAGTGACCAATGTGGCAGCATTGAGGATGAGAAAGAGAGAGTTACATGGGCAGTACAAACAACAAATATGAACCCCTTTGCAAATACAATACTGAGTTGTCAATGAAAGCAAACATGGGTATAGGGACGGATAGATGGGTGAACAAGCTAAACAATTATGTATGTCTAAATGGAGAGTGTATCCAAGATCATATACAGGGTTGGCAGACAATGGGCCTCTCGAAGAGTATGAAGGGATGGACACTGGGAGGAGGTAACTATGGGGAGGAAGTGGGAGGGGAGCTGCTGCATTGTAAATTTTGGTCAATGACATATGAGACAAAGTATATGTGAACTGCTGTATGAAAAGTGAATTTACTCTGTAAATCTTCACCCAAATCCTAATTAAAAAAAAAAAAAAAAAAAGTGAGGTGGAAGCTTGATATAATACTGGTACACTGAGTTATCTTCAGTGAGTACTTTTTTCTCAAGGCATATTTAGTAGTTAAGCTCTTGGTTAAAAGGATCCCTGGTGGTGCAACAGTTACGTGCTTGGCTGCTAACCAGAAGGTTAGCAGTTCAAACCCACCACGTGGCTCCACAGGAAGACCTGGTGATCTGATCCCGTAATAACTACAGCCTCGAATACACTATGGGGCAGTTCTGCTCTGTTACCTGGGCTCACTATGAGTCAAAATTGACTCGATGGCACCCAACAACAATAAAGCTCTTGATTTATTTAATGCTTTTCCTTGATCTGTTTGGTTATCGATAGTTTTAGTGATGTTATTCTTAGGCAGAATTATGTTCCCGCTGTATACTTATGGAATGCCCTTTTTTTCTTCCATGTTGTAGATTCGACGGAGGCGCCTTGCACGACTTGCTGGTGGGCAGAGTTCCCAGCCCACCACCCCGCTCACCTCTCCCCAAAGGGAGAACCCTCCAGGACCTCCTATAGCAGCGTCAGCCCCAGGCCCCTCCCAGAGTCTCGGTCTTAACGTCCACAACATGACCCCAGCTACCTCCCCAATAGGTGCATCAGGTAAGGCTTAGCTTCATATCTGAGATGCATTTACACTTCTAATCCTAGCTTTCTACTGAATTTACAATTGTATTATTTGCACAGTCAATTAAAAGGAAGTGGACATCAATTTTTTAAATTTGAAAGCATTATTAATATTTATTTTTAGATATTTTGTTAATATTTATTAATTTAGATGATTATGTGTTAAAATCAGTTGTTTTCTTCTCCATAACTTTTATCTCTTTTTTCCCCCCACAAACTTGGGCAGGTCTTATCTCTGATTGCAAGATGATTAAGACTGAATTTTGTTCTGTGACTTTTTTTTAACTTGATTGATACTTTCTTTTAAAATAAAATAATCTGAAAAATGCAAGGTTAAATTCATGGTCAGAATGACAAGTGTTTAATTATGGCCCCCTGTATTTTCATTCTACATTGACACAGAACTTTTTCTCTAAATTTTCAGAGTATAAAACTTCACCTGATGATGCTTTATAACTATTTCATTGACGACTCTTTAACTATGGTTAAGATTTATTTCTTGGGAAATTATGAGATTGACTCATGCTATATTTTTGGAATCGTTTTCTTCTTTCTAAATGAACTTTTTTATTAAATATAATAATTATTTAAGACTCTAGTTATGAAAAAGCAGGTGCTAAGAAATCTGCCTTAACTATCATGTCGTTTAGTAATTTCATATATGGTTGTTAGTTCTGCAGTTATTTAATATACTCTGTTTTAGTAAATCTGGCAAATAATCTGTCTGCATCTGGGATTATTTGTCACTTCAAAGGAAATGCAGAGTTTCTGTTACTGTAACTCCTTTATTGGGCCTCCATACAGACTCCTCCCACATAAATATAAACACATATATATAATATTGTTAATTATATAAGAGAGAGAGTTGGGCCAAAATATCATTTCGTAATAACCAGTACCTTTGCCTGAAGTGTCTGGGTCCTTTGCACAGCTTCTTTGAGAATCTGTGGTGGTCTTCTGATGAGGATGGAGGATTCACATTCCACCTGTGACTGTTTTTGCTCTCTTCCTTGGAAACAGTGATGTCTGTCCACTGTGATCAGGCCTTACCTGGAACGCTGGAACCTATCCTTTGGAGTACATCTGCAAAAGTCGTCAAGCAAGAGACTCAGAACTCTGCATGCAGGGTCTTCAACACTCACAGCCTCAGTACCATTGTCTCTTAGGAACCTCAGGGACGAACTCATCATGCCCTTTATCCCTGGCAGTATCAGTCACCAAGTCTCCCAAGTATCATCTCTCATCCCCTAGCCTCTAATCTCTACATGGTTTGCTACGTATCCCTTCCTGACCCCACCTCCACCCCACCTTAAGTTCTGAAATCCTCAAAATCATTCACCAGCAAAATCCTACTCTGAACGTTCCTTCCCCTCGCTGCTCTGCATCTGTGCATCATCGCTGTCTTGTACCACTGTGTCTGGGGGTTGGGTTTGTGTCTCTTTTGCTCCTCATTTCCGCTTCTAGACCATTCTTCCTCCTTCCTAAAGACACCTTACTTTTAATCTTGAGTCATCAACTATACTTCCCACTCCCCTTCCCTGTTGCAGCTATCCTGGGGAGCCCTCCCCTATCTCATTCTGTTCCCTCTCTCTCTCCAACACCATTTCTGCCCTAATTCTTACTGATTTCAAATCCATGTAGAGAAGCCTTCCAGGACTCTGACCTATTAGTTTCTTGACCTCCTCTTCTTTAGTGACTTTGTCTTCTGCCTAATTTCACTTACTCACTGCCATGTCATACCCTAGACCTCAATTATTTTCCAGCCACCACCTTGAGCTTTCTAGCTTATTCCCTCTTGTGTCCAAATCCAGTAGTCCTTCAGCCCCCTCCCCAAAGCTATAATCCATTGATTCTATCACCTTTTCATTTACCTCCTTATACCCCCAGCCCTTTGTCCTCATTTCTTTCCTTGCTCTACTTAAATTCTATATTCAGTCACTCTCCTCACTCCCCTCTCTTGTCCCTCTCTTATCCTTGTGTCACCTTGTGTTGTTTGGTTAAACCATGATCCTGATTAAATTCCATTCCCCACCTACTTTCTAACTGCACCTGAGCAGTTGAAAAAGGGTAGAGAGAAACTCAGAACCATGCTACCCCTCTCATTACAAATTCATGGTCACAACTCAAGTGGACTCCTAATACTAGCAAGCAATGATGCCATATTTCCCTGTTCATTCTCACACCCACCAAACAGCTGTTTCATATCCCCCTTCTCAAGTCTGCAATGCTTTTTTCCTCATAAACACTCAGCTCATGGACTGTCTTCCTATTTCACTGAGAAAACAGATGCACACAGAAGAGAACCTCCGTAAGCTCCCGTCATCACATCCATCTACCTGCCGGCATATGTGTCCAGTTCTTGTCATGCACAAGCTGTTCCTGTCCCCTCTACAGCCATCTCTTAGATCCCATCTCCTCTCCCCTGCTCAGACATGTGGGGGCAGCAATCCCTGTCTCTCTCTCTCTCTCTATCAGTTTTTCCATCTTAACTGGCTGTTTTATAGTGTATTCACATGCTATTACTTCTCCCATTATGAGAGGAAAAAAGGGTAGTTCTCTTGATCACATTTCCCCTGCCAACCCACCCTATATCTGTACCCTCTTACAGCAGAACTTCCAGGGTGAGTTGCTTGTCCTCTCATTCTTTTTCTGCCTTTTCACCCTCTATTGAATCCACCCATTCAAGCTTTGGGTGAGGCTTCCCATGGTCTCCTTTGAGTGACTGTCTGATCTGACCTCTCAGCCTCATTTGATATGGCTTTCACCCTCTCCTGTCTTCTTTTGGCTTTCAGAACACCACACTCTCCTGGTTTTCCTTCTCTCGACCTTTTCCTTTTAGTTCTCTGTATGGCTCCTTTTCATTTCCCTGACTTCTAAATGTTTGAGTGCTGGTGCTTAATAGTGAGCCTATTGTTCTCTCTTCTATGTTTATTCTCTTACTGATCTTATCTGGTTTCCTGGCTTTAATTTACTGCTTCTAATCTGATGATTCCTGAATGTATGTCTCCAGATCAGTCCTATTCCCGAACCTCAGACTCATACATCCAGTGACATACTTGACATCTGCACTTGAATGTCTCATAAGCATCTTAGAATTAACATGTCCAAACTCAAGCAACTGATATTTCCCCATACCTCTTCTCTCAGGATCTCATTACGCAACTGACAATTCATTATTTTTCATTGCGTTAGCCTAAAACTATTATATTTTCTCTTTACCTTATACTCTAGATTGAGGATTGGCAAGTAAAAGGCCAGATATTAAATATTTTAGGCTTTGTAGGCCATATGGTCTATGTCACAACTCTTATCTCTGTCACTGTAACACAAAAGCAGCCATAGACAATAGGTAAATGAAAGCACATGCCTGGTATCTGATAAACTTTGGCCCACAGTCTGTGGTTTGTTAACCCATATTCTGGATCCATCAGCAAATATGACCTGAATCTGCCTCTTCTCACCAACTCCATGGCTGCCACACAGGGCCACAGCACCACTATTTCTTGCCTAGCTTATTGGAGTGACCTTCTAACTGGCTTCCCTATGCCCGTCCCTGTTCTTCTTCAGTCTATTTTGAGTATAGAGCCAGAGGGGGTCCTACTAAAATACATATGCAGGTGTCTTAGGCTGAGTTTTCTAGAGGAGCAAGACCAGTGAAGCTTGTGTGTATGTGTATGTATGTAATATATGTATATATATATGTGTGTGTTTGTGGGGGGAGAGAGAGAGAGAGATTCATCTCAGGGAAGTGGTTCACACAGTTGTAGAGGTTGGCAAATCCCAAGTCTTGGGGTAAAACATCAAGCTGGAGGCTTCTCCTGACTCATGCAGGCTGTTAATTCACAGGCTTTGAAGATAGTTCCCAAGATCAGCAGGCAATATGGCAGGCCACTGATTCACCTTCAGATAATGACAAGCCAGATGCAGGATCCCAAGCAAAAAGCTTTCCCATATATATTGGAAGTGGGCCACACCCTGAAGGAAATTCCCTTTCAGCTGATTAACTGCTCATAGCATATCTCAAAGTAGCAAGTGGGAAGAGCAGGAGAAAGGGAATTAAAAGCCAGGAAGCCAGAGGGAAGAACAATCAGCCAAAGGGATTAGGTGAGGAACCAGGACAGAAGAGCAGTCAGCCCCGGGGTTACAGGAAGGAGAGACAACTCGGGGACACCCAAAGTAGCAGGCGGGAAGAGCAGGAGAAAGGAGATTAAAAGCCAGGAAGCCAGAGAGAAGAGCAATCAGCCGAAGGGATTAGGTGAAGAGACAAACTCAGGCCCGCCCAGAGTAGCAGGCCAGAAGAGCAGGAGAAAGGGGATAAAAGCCAGGAACCCGGACAGAAGAGCAGTCAGACCCAGGGTACAGGTGAGGAGAGACAACTCAGGGATGCCCAAAGCAGCAGGCTGGAAGAGCAGGAGAAAGGGAATTAAAAGCCAGGAAGCCAGAGAGAAGAGCAATCAGCCAAAGGGATTAGGTGAGGAGAGGAAACTCAGGCCCGCCCAAAGCAGCAGGACCAGAGAGCAGGAGAAAGGGGATAAA